TGCTCCCTGACAGAGCAGCACAGCTCCCCTCTTCCCCCACCACATTTACCCTGCACTAGGGAAAAATCCTCACTCAGGGCTCAAAGTTCCATTTCTCAGCATGTGCATCAATGAACCAATGACACAATAAACCAATGTCAGCCCATCCCCTGGTCAGTGCTGCCTCCTCAAGAGACATCCATGAATCTGTCTGTCCAGCTCCCACCAAATTATTCTGGAGAGTGGGGAAGAGAAAATCCCATTGCAGAAGAGCCCATGGAGGTGCAGGGTGAGAATCCAGCCTTGCTCAGGTTGGTACCTCAGCTAAAACCCATTTTCCAAGGGGCAGAGACAAGTGCAGGATGTTCTAAGAGCCCATCCTGGCCCACAGGGCTTGCTTGGGTGAATCCTGCCTGAAGGAGTGAAGTGCCTGCCAGGAAAACTGGGAGGATCTGCTGTCCCTGCTTCAGTTTGCTGAATTTTGTGTTGTGGGATCCTCTGAATCCTTCCCCCCCCAGGGAAATCCTCAGGGCTTTGCCTGGGAAGAATTCACCACAGAGCTTTCCCCACCCAGGTGGACAGAAAGGGCTTCCCCATGAAGTCTTGCACATCTTTAGAAAATGCTCCCACCTGTTCTGTTGGGCATTCCTTGCTTCTCCAGCTGGAAAATGCAGATGTTCACTGGGAACTCCAATCTTCAGCCCCTGGAATGGTGTGGAGAGCCACAACTGAGACAAAACACACAGTGAAAGGAGAATTGGCTTCACAGGTGGAAAAAACCTGAGGCTGAACAGAACCCTCCTGGTTTAAATCAGCCATCAGATTGTGCCTGATCTTCCACACCTGCTCCTTCCCAGGCTCAGGCACCTGCAACTGATCCCCCATGAAAGAAATCTGATGAAAATCAAAACGAAAGAAAATGATGACTGTGTTGGTGCTGGATTGTAACAAAAATTGCAGGCTCTGCCTTCATTAGGAGCAAACAGGGTATTAATGTGGGAAAAGCAGCACACTTTGCATGGAAAACATCTTCATGATCAAAGATCTGTTTTATGTAATTTGCTTCCTTGATTATACAAGGAACTCCATGCAGAAATATAGTTTTGCTTTACAGGAGAATTTGCATTAAAGGCTTCCCCTGCTCATCTCCCTCAGTTCCCACCTCCCTGATCAATGCACCTCTCCTCAGTGCAAGGGTTCATCACTCTGGCTCCAGCTGAAAGCCAAAAATGGGGAAATTAGTGAGCAACAGCAAAAACCTGAATAATCCCAGCAGTTTGCAGTACCTACAATTAAACTGGCATAACTTTTCTATCTGATATCTTAATAACATGCATAAATAGGCTTTATTGGAAGGCCAAAATTTTCCAGCAGTCCAACCAGGCCAAGACATCAGAGCTGGTGCCCAGCAGATGCATTTTTGTTGCCCTCCAGGTTCTCTCTACTTTGCATTTGGTCTTTTAAATTTTGTGTTTTAAATGTTGTGTTTTAAATTCTGCCTCCCAGTGCTAAGCCTGACCCGCAGACTGGAGCCTGTGTGCTCACAGATAAATGGCTGCAAGCCTGAATCACAGCTGGGCCACACAGGGGAACAGATCAAGAGACCTTTTATCTGCTGTGTCAGTCCTTTGCCAAACCCAGGAATCAGGAATATTCAGATTTTACAGGGCAGAACACATGGTGAGCTCAAGGCAAACACAAATGAATGGCAAAAGACAACACTTCCCTGGTAGAGCCCACTGAAACCCAGAGAAATGAAGTTTGTCCTTTTTAAATTGTTCCTTTGTGTAAAAGGGATTATACCACCTGTGATTATTGCTTCTTTAAATGGCCTCTGCTGTGCAAGTCAGATTACCAAAATGAAATTATTGAGGAAGAAAATACAATGGCAGATGCAAAAAGCCCCCAGAAGCACCTGAAATAGTTTCTGCTGAATTATTTACAGTTATGCTCTTGTCCCCTCTTGTGAATTGTGTCTGCTCCAGTTTATGGCTATCACATTCTGAAAAACTCCAAGTGCAAAGAGCACTGAGCCCCTCACTTCAGCAGGTATGCAAGTCGGGTAACAAATGCAGAACTATTGCAAGGGCAAAGCAGCCTCTTCTGAGTCCAGATTATTAAAAATTGGCTATCTAGTTCCACCTTGTAGTCCTTTCTGGCATTGTGTGTTATTCCAAGTGCTGCTTTCCAGCATTTCCCAATGTGTAAATCAGGAAGTTCCTTGGGATGTTTTTCCAGCATGACCGAGAGCTCAGACTGACAGGGGATTATCACCATCCCTCACCACTCCGGAGTCAGATGTTTGTCTCCCACTCTGCTCAACTGAGAGCTCTTTTCCACCAGTGTGTGCTTTAAATACCCCACGGAGCAGGACTGCTATACTAATAAAGTAATAATCAATTAGGCTGTAGTGAATGACTGCAGATTACCCACTGCCTGATGTGCAAACATAACGGGGAGGGTTCAAAAGACACTCCCATTGTGCCTGGGGAAATTCACAGGGACTTGTCTAAGTCCATACCTGGAAATGTTTTCTCCCAAACGGAACCCACACCCAGTTCTGTGAAAAAGAATTTATGAAATAATTTTTAACCACCTGATACCACAATGAATTGCACTTTTAAGTTTCACATAATGAGTATTTAAAGGCAGGGAATCAGCTGCTTACAGGTAATTATGAGAAAACATTAATGTCATAAAGCAACAAATGCTCTATCAGCATGCACAGGATGCTAAAGAAAGCAATGACAATTTAATAAACCCATACATTGATATTAGCATTATCAAAAAAACCCCACAATTAATAATGTCTCAAGAAACAAAACTTATATAAAATTTAATATTTATGTGGGCATTTGCAGATGGTTTGGGGGAATGTTTTATATATATATATATATATATATATATATATATATATACACACATATATATTTATGGTGCCTTTCCCCATTCCTGGGCACATCCTTTTTTCCACATATAAAAGGTTACTTAAGGAGAGTTGTATTAACATGGCTGCTCATATTCATTAGGGTTATATCCAATTAGAATTCTGAGTAAAATTCAGTGCTATCTCTCTGTACTATTGTGCAGTTCAGTCTGTTGTGGTCACATCATTAACAGTTTTGAAGGGAAGAGTCTGTCAGGTTTCTGTTCTGATAAGACCATTATGGGAATGAATTAAATAATTTGGAAAACATCAGCAATAGCTGTCTGACTATTTGTCTGCTTAGAAATTCTATACTGAAATCCAGCCTCTTCAAATAAATAGGGACCCATGGGATTTGTTCATTGATTCCCTTTTATTGTTATTTTTGTAAAAATTAAATGGTATCACCGTCATTTAATTGGGTTTTTAAAAATTATGTGATTTTTTGGGGTTATTTGGTTTTAAAGTCCTCCTTCATTGGAAAAGGCACCTGGTTCTCCCAATTCAAGTCAAACAGAATTGACACCTCAGAGAAAAAAAAGAAGAAATCCACAAAACGACAGTAAGCTAAAATGGAATGTAATTTCAGCATGACAATTTTATACAGCAAACCCAGGCTTTGAGGTGATGGTACTCAACAGGAAATAATCATGGTACTCAAGTAAAACATTGTGCATCTACCAGAATCATGGTATGTATATCTTTATTACAGTTTTCAGAATACATGGATTAACAATGGCCAGGCTGTGATTTCATCAAATTCCTATTTTAAACATTACATACAAACACAGAGCTGTTTAAAAAATAGAAATGCATGAGTTTTGTCACCTTTTTATATTTTTTTTTTTTGATCTTTTTTATTTATTTTTTTTTGGCATCAGGAGTCCTATGACTTCCAAAAGGGAAATCAAACGGTGCGTGGTAGCAGATTGACTGAAGTGTGATAGGTTATTGTTCATATTCTGTGGCATATGTATCACCTCAAACAGTGCTAAAAGCACCCCAAGGACAAATCCTTCTCCTTTCCCCTCCCCGTGGCTCCAGTGGGTGCCTCAGGGCTGCAGGGCGCTCACACCACTCCCTCCCTGCAGCACAGAGGCAGCACTGGCACACCTGGGGACACCTGCAGCTGAGGCATTTGGCTGCATCTGCTCGGATTCATTTATTTTTTTTTCTTTTTAAAGTTATTTTTTATTTACATTTCGTGTGCATGCGCGGGCGGGTGCGGAGACACCGCGGGGGAAGAGGTTCCTCACAAGACTTGTCTCAAAAATGAGTTGAAACTCGCAAATACAGTATGGCACATCAGAGGCGGGCTGGACATTGCTCAGCACATGTCCTGCCCGACCTTGCAGCACTTGGAAGGCAAACAGCAAAGTAGAACTCAGCCAAGCCTTTGCTGAATGGAAAAAAAGCAATTTACACACACAGGGAAGTTTGCTCCCACAGAACTATCACCTGTTTGGAATATTCACCAGCTAGATCATTCTCAGGGTAGGAAGGGCTGGAGCCACCCATCAAAGCAGGGATTGCCTGAGGGATGTGAAAGCTGAAGGCTGCAAAGTTTCCTTAACAAAAGCTAAAGGAGGGTTTCCAGAGCCAAACCTAAAACTCAGCCAGATTCTCAGAGTTTGGTGTGTTGTGGGATGAATTTAAAGCAGGTTACTAATGAATTGTGGCTTGGATAGAAACCATGAAAATATTACGGTTTTTTACAGCATTTGTCTGAGGTAGTACATATACCACACACAAAAATGCAAAAATATACAGATATTCATGATTATTTGCATATTACAGAAGGGAACTGTGGGAACGCTCTTGTATCTCATTTCTCAAGAAGAACAGATCATTTCAGATCACACTGCTCATAATGACCACAGCCAGCTGAAACCAGAACAAGGGACAGCGTTTCTGTTTGCCAGTGCCCTCTGAGCACTGCTCCTGTTCTGGTTTCAGCCAAAAAATCAGATTTATCTCGGGTGTGCTGGATGGATCCCCGTGGATCCCACACAGACACACAGACACAGGGCAGCTGCATTGCTCTCCCAGCAAACTGCACAAAACTGGAGCAGGAGGAGCCCAGCGCCTGCCCAGCCCTGAGCTCACACAGATACGGAACATTTGTACAGCACTGAAACTTCCCATTCCCGCCACATTCGAGGTTGGGTTCGATTCATCGCAAAGGTAAAATTATCTTCCTCTTAAATAAACTAAGAAATGTAAACAGTGTAACATCGTTAAAAAAAAACAAACCAAACTCTCTCGGAACTTGTAACTGGTAAAATGTGAATGCAAACAGATGTGCTGGTATATTGTTAACGTCATGTCTCAGAGGACAGAGAGTGAAACATAATTAGCAAGAAATTTATGTATGAACCCTCCAGTGATTTTCTTTCTGGGATTACTTTGAATACAAATATAATTTAACTGATATATTTCATTTTTTTTAAAATTAGAAAATAAGGCAAGTGCATTTCTGAAAAAGGTGCTACTCTTCTACACTTCTAGATAAACATGTGACACCTCTGAAAATTAGATCAATAATAAAAACATTAAAAATATCTGCAATTTAATATAGACTGAAAAACTATCAAAAGACAAAGTGACCAGCATCAATTTCAGAAAATATTTTAGACTTCATAAATACGAGCACCCTATATTTACATAAATTATCTTCTAAACTAGTTTTCCTTTGAAAGACACTTTCGTTCTAACAGATATGTCCATTAAATTATATAAATGTTTCAAATATGAAAAAAATAGTAGTAAAATAGAAGCATCAGATGATGTTGTTATTTTGGATTTGCCTTTTTTTCCTAAGATTTGGTTCTTGAAAATCTGTAGCCAGCTTTCACAGAGCTTTCAAAAAAAAAATTATAACCCATGGAAATGAGAAACTTGTGCACTAATAACTACTGCTATCGTATAAAGATTCTGTGGAGAGCTTTTGAGTTTTCACATAGAAAGATTATACCAATACTTGTAAATCCCAGCAAAATGCTAATTTCAAAGTCTGAATTCTAAGACACTATTGATTTTTATAGACATTATGAACCTAATCCTTTAAACTGGCTTTGTACATTAAGCACATTTTTATAAGTGTAAATTTAATAGTTCCATTTCAAGAAGCAGGGCTTCAATACAAGGCTGGTGTTGACCTTGCACGAAACAGGATGGAATTCTTTAATTCTTTTTAGCTCTTACTGATAAACAAGGATAAAATCCTGTTGTATGCTTTTTTTTCTCTCTTTTTTTTCCTGAAGTACCATACAACTCTTCAGTTTGTTCCTAAAGCCCCCAAACTGTTTAGGGAGAGTATTTAGTTGACAGCAAGCATTTCACTAGGCTTCAGTGGTATTCCTATGTTTAGAGCTATGGGCAAACCCCCTGTAGTCTTTGAAAAAAAAAATAAAAATTACAATTCAATACTAGATTGAAAAGGAGCTGTATCTTTTCTTACAACAACGCAGTTTATGATTGTGGGAATCTATCCCAAACTAGTCCAATAGTTTTGAGAGGATCTCAGCAGAGAAGCAAAAAGAATTTTCTGTACAAAGATGCTTGGCTCAAGCAGTAGTGCAAAGATCCACTGCCCCAGGAGCAAAGTCCCTCCAGAGCAAGGAGTTTGTGCACAGCAACCACTGACACCTCACCTTCCAAACAGCCTTTACAGACACTAAAAAACCCCAAGTCCCCCACAACCCCAGGCAATAAAAGCATCCACAATAAAATTTCATCAATCAGTGATAAGCATTAATAATCTGAGAACAAGTGCCAGCTGCTGCAGAGCATCCTGATCCTTTACAAACATCACAGCTCAGCAACTTTTGCAGTAGTTCCACTGGAATTCCACTCCAAACCCTCCATCCCCTCCCGGATGGGGACGAAGGGGACAGGGAGGGAGGGTTTGATTTCCCCAGGACTTGTGCCAGGACAAACAGAGGCAGCTGCTCCCTGAGGAGCTGCAGTGCAAGGGCCTGGGCACGCAGGGCAACGGGAGGAGTTCCCAAAAATCAGCCTTGGTCACTGCCAGGCAGCGCTCCAGCTCGGAAATGGGTTGGTAGCTGCTGAACCCTCAGCACTAAAATCCACCAGTGGAGACCCCCTAGGTGCTTTACCTGAGAAACAGAGGAAAAACTCAGAGGCAGTTCTGAAAAACTTCGCCGTGTAGCTTGTCTCTAAAAACCTACACACAGGCATTTTAGCATCATCAAAATAGGACAATCACACTTTCCCCCAAACAGCTTTATAAAGAATATATAAGTGCACAATTAGAAAAATCCCTCCTTAGATACAGTGAAAAACATATTCTGCCCTTGATACAATTTTGGAAAAATCCTATGCTCTGTTTGATTTAATTTTTTTTTTTTTCTTTTTAGCAGTGATAAGTAACTACACCTCATCATATCAGAAGTGTAGATATGTGGTGTATCCCACTGGCAGCTGAATCCACCAGGCTTTACACTGAGATAAGGTTTTCAGCAACCTGACTGGGGCTATGTGTTGCCTTTTTATGGTTACAAAAAAGATTCTGATAATGTAGACCAGCTCATCTCTGAATTTATTAACATACAATTTTATTATTTTTCCTTTCATGTTCAAATCAGAACTGCAAATGGAATCCACAGCTGTACTCTTTCAACAGAAGTGTATTTTCTTACCCATATAAAACATAACCTAGAAATCCCCAACTCCTTTCATGTGAGTTGCCAGCTTAAACAAAAAGGGGTGGAAAAAAAGAAAGAACATAAGAAAATAAGATATATACCCTACTGTTTAACACTGTTTACAGATCTTGGTAGTTGGGGTAATAAGATACAGTATGTGGATTATTTTTAGCAACTGCTTTAAAATTACATATTCTTACACCATCTCATTTAATCAATACCAGTATTCCTTTATGATCATTGCCAATTTGGATGATAAACTCTTCCCAAAGCACATCCATTTCATTGTAAATAAAACAATTCATTAATTCTTTGGCATCAGAAGAATCATACAGCTGCAATTGCTCCGTTGTGTCGAGAACGAGACCTTTCCAAAGTCACTCGTTTGTTATCTGCAACAAAAAGAGAGAAAAAAACAAATCACCACAAGATTTGAAACACGGATAATGCAATGTCAAGAGGTTTTCAAACAGCCCTGAAAATCATTCTGAATGATATGTAAATAAGTAAGTAGGAGACTGGATCAGAGAAGTTTCACACTGCAGCTGCCAGACTGAGTTCAAGAGTTCTGCAATCAGCAATAAATTACTTTCTTGATCAGAGAAGCTGGGTGATAAAAGCATTGGGAGAATCCTGAAACGCGGTCCCCTTGGAAACAGCACATAATAAATACAATTCTGGGTAAAAATCCTTCAAATTTTATAAATAATTTATGCAGAGAATCTCTGGAAAAATACATTTCAACTTTCATGGGAACGCACTGACCAGTGAAAACCTGCCAGATGCTCCAAGCCCAAAAGCCCAAACACCTCTCACTGTAATTTGGTACAGAGTTAAAAATAGAACAGTTAAATCAGCCACTTCCTCAGCATTTCCTGATCGTGCAACGTGAACAACTTTCAGTATAAAATATTGCCCAGTAATTATTGCAATGAATAATAAATATGTCTCTATCACAAGAAAACAATCACCAAGTACCAGCCACGCTCCTAAATGCCTTTACAATAAAATTTTAAAGCCATGAATACACACACACACAGAAAGGGGCAGGAGATTAACCCCCACTAGCGTTCTGCAGATTTACATCTTTCTTTGTGACAATGAGTTCCTGACATAAACATTTTTTTTTTCTTCTTTTGTTTTTGGTGGCAGCTTCCCTTTGACCTTTTCTCCCCTGTCCCATTCAGGTGCTGCTCTGCACCATCCCTGTCCCTACATTGCTGCAGCACCAGGATGTCCCAACAGAGGGGCTGGGACTTGTACAGACAATATCATTAAGAGGTTGATGCATTTTGGGGCTACCTAAACACAGAATTAAGGGAATAAAAAGCAGTTCTATTTATTGAAGGGCCTTCAGGGACATTAGGGGCAGACAAAGCCCACCCAAAATGGACCACAGGTTTCACACTTTGATAAGTTTGGGGCATTTGCATATTGGGGTTAATTTTCCAATTCCAGCTTCAGGTAATGAAGGCATTTACCCCAAATTTGCTCCCCCAAACTCACTTTTGTTCCCATCTCAGGGCCTGAGGCAGTGAGGTGTCCTTGGTGCCCAGCCTGGAGAGGAATTGTTGTGTCTGCCCAAAATGGGAGAGCAGCAGCTCACAATGTATCCTGACAGGGCACAAGTGACCAGCAGGACACTCCTGACAGGGCACAAGTGACCAGCAGGACACCCCTCCTGGCTCTGAAGGGCACTGACCAGCAGGAATCTCCTCCTGACAGGACACTGACCATCAGGACACTCCTGACAGGACACTGACCATCAGGAATCTCCTGACAGGGCACTGACCAGCAGGAATCTCCTCTTGATAGGACACTGACCATCAGGAATCTCCTGACAGGGCACTGACCAGCAGGAATCTCCTCCTGACAGGGCACTGACCAGCAGGAATCTCCTCTTGATAGGACACTGACCAGCAGGAATCTCCTCCTCACAGGGCACTGACCATCAGGAATCTCCTCCTCACAGGACACTGACCAGCAGGACACCCCTCCTGTCAGGACACTGACCAGCAGGAATCTCCTGACAGGACACTGACCAGCAGGAATCTCCTCCTCACAGGGCACTGACCATCAGGAATCTCCTCCTCACAGGGCACTGACCATCAGGACACTCCTGACAGGGCACTGACCAGCAGGAATCTCCTCACAGGGCACTGACCATCAGGACACTCCTCACAGGACACTGACCATCAGGAATCTCCTCACAGGACACTGACCATCAGGAATCTCCTCCTGACAGGACACTGACCAGCAGGAATCTCCTGACAGGACACTGACCATCAGGAATCTCCTCCTCAAAGGGCACTGACCATCAGGAATCTCCTGTCAGGGCACTGACCAGCAGGAATCTCCTCCTCAAAGGGCACTGACCAGCAGGAATCTCCTCCTGACAGGGCACTGACCAGCAGGAATCTCCTGACAGGACACTGACCATCAGGACACTCCTGACAGGACACTGACCATCAGGACACCCTCGTGGCTCTGAAGGGCACTGGGCACTGCCCCAGGACGGGCTGCAGCTCCATCCTCAGCTATTCCATCCATTCCCCTGCAGCCAGGCTGGGCACAGGGTGGCCAAGGTGACCCCCAGAGCCCCCTCCAAGCCCAGGCCCTGCTCGAAGCCAGCAGAGCCAGGCACGGGCAGGCAATTAAAGGAGACAAAGGAGTCATCTCTGTGATCTGTTCCTGGACAGAGAACAGGGGCTGCAGAATCAGCCTCCCCTTCCCTGCTCTGCCGGCACTGTGGGGAATTAACGGCTCCTTTAGCAAGATTATTAGTTCTTTTTATAGTTCTGCCTTGCCTCCTTTTCCTAATGAACCTAGCCATGCATAAAGTATTCAAATTACCCTAAGTCAATCTGTTTTGCATGGGCATAAATCTCTGTGCTGGTTGCAGTGTCACTAAGAGCTGGCAATTAAAGCACAGAGGAAGGGAAGTCATCAACTCCGATGTGCTGCTGCTCCTCCAGCAGCAAAGGCTGCACTGATACTGCTCTCAGTGGCCCCAAACATCAGCCTCAACTCCACAGGTTAAAAACAGATTGAGAGAGTATTTGAGAGAGTATTAGAACTCTTGATTTTTAAAATTTTTTTTTTTTTTAAGATTTTCTCCCTTCATCACGCAGTTGCAAAGCTGGGCTGGCACTTCAGGCAAACACAAAGCCACAAAACAAAATAGTCAAAAATTATAATTTCCTTCTTCAGGTAATAAAATATTTTCTTAATACATTATGTGTTAAAACAAAGGCTTTCTTATGGTTTCATATCCTGGTGCCTTGTGAAACTGGGTTGGGCTGGCATTTCAGTACTTGAGCAAGAATTTTGAAAAATCATTAAATTTCTATCACTTTCAATATGCACATTCAGTTATCTCCAACATCTGTATTTACCTTTTGAATGTAACAGACAGTATTGAATACAGCACAGAGCAAGTCTGGCTCATAAACATGACTGACTATTCTGGCATAAAATCAACTATAACATCAATAAATGGTAAAACTCTTTCCTTTTGTAAGGGGGGATGGAGAGGGAAAATAAGAGCAAGTTAAAAGTGGTTGAAATGCAATAAGAAATCATTGCCCAGGGCTCAGGTAGCTTTGAAAACATGCAAACATGACTAGAAACCATGATCATGGGTTCTGTGGGTGCCAGCCAGGCCTCCTGGTAACCCCACAGGGAGAGAATTGGATTTCTCACTTTAATCTTAGAAGTCCATTTCTTCTAAAAGCAGGGCACACCCACTCTGCTCCCATTACAGACATTATAATGTCTCAGAAGTGAGCACACGACCTTCAAAGCGGCCTCTCAATCTGCTGAAAGGATCTTGGAGCAGTGAAAGGTAGAAGAGTGAAGGATTAAAATGGGAAACAAAGCAGATTTTTATATCACAAAAGAATCCCCATCTTTTAGCTAGCTGGATCAAATGGAAATGAAGTCAATATAAAATTAAATGCTGAGGAATCAAATCAGCAGCTCCTTTTTAGTACACACAACCCTGGAATGCAATGGTGACCCTGCAAAAAACAAATGGACTTTGTTATAAAAACAATTCCTTGCTCAAGTCTTGCACTCAGCACCAAGACGGGAATAAACCCTGCAAAATCTATTTTTCCTTTCCTTAATGCTTTTTCCTTTTTATTTTTCCTTTCCTTCATTAGCTCTGTTATTAAAAGAGAAGTCTCAATAGCTGCCACAGATTTATTAACCCAGCAGCTTGTTATCAACACACAACTCGGTTATACGAGGAGAAAAATAAATGGCACTTTGCACAACTGCAGTGCTAAGATTAAGTGACTTTTTCATTTCATTTTCTCCTTATCCACTCTTCCAGGTAGTAACTTTATGCACTCCTAATTACAAACCCTATTTTTTATGAGCAATCAATGCTAGTATTAATAGAGATGTTGTGCAGTCCAATGGACTGGTCATGGCACTGAGAAATCTGATAAGGGAAAGGCAGAGTCTATAAAACCATACCTCAAAGGCACCTGGTTGGAATTTGCATCATTCTGCAACAAGAAAAAGGAAGTTCTCTTCTATCATTATCTCTCAGCCCTGAGATTAAAATTATAAATGTGTTACAAACTGCTACCCTGGGCTTGGTACCTTGTTTGACTCCTCTTTCCCCTCCTAAATCACCTCCCCAAGGTGGCAGAATTGACCTTTCCACAGCTGACAATAATAATAATAATAAAAACTGTTCCATGCTCAGAGAAACGAGGTCCTGGTTTGACTTGCCTTGAAAATGATCACAGCAAGAAGGCAGAACTCTCAGCAGTTAATAAAATATTTAAAAATCCATCTTTTTGAAATAGTTTTGACTATGCAAAAGAGACAGAACTGTGTGCTGTAAGGGAATTTGTATGGCCCGTGCCTTTGGGAATCAATGAAAGCCTTTACATCAAACATTTATTTCTTCATTCATGTAAAATCTTGTTCACTAGGAAATCCTACTGAAACACATCTTGTTTTCATGAGCAACCAAAGGGAAAATACTCCTGCAGTCCCAAGCACTGCAGCAGCGAAACAGGGAAAACAGCAAGACAATTTCCTACAGGTGGGGAATGATGAAAAAATGAGGAAAGGACTCATTTTAGTAGGTTTAAAATGGATAAAGTGTCACAACAGATGGATTCCAAGGATCAAACACTTCATCTGTAAAAACTGGCATTTGCTCTATAGGAAAAGGTGAAAACCTGAATTTTGTTTTACAAGTATCACTTCTTTCTGATCAGGAAAACCAAATATTTTCCAGTGTCACTGATTAAAATGATGACAAATTAGGTGAAATTCAATTCACTTGAGTCTGGGCAGCCTCCAGTTTTCTCCTGGGGCTACCCAAGCACAGGGAAAACTGAGGCCAATTCATCATTTGCTGCAACAGCACATTGCCAACTGCTTGAAGGAACAACCCAAGTAAAAATAAAAATAAAAATAAAAATAAAAATAAAAATAAAAATAATAATAATAATAATAATAATAATAATAATAATTATTATTATTATTATTATTATTATTATTATTATTATTATTATTATTATTATTATTTTATTTTTATTTTGGTCTAGGTTTTGATTGTTGTTGTTTTTATTTTATTATTCATATTTTCCTTCATGGACTGCAGTCGCCTCCATCACCTTTAGCATCCCACAATGAAAGGTACAATTTTTTTGGAACATTTTTTTTTGGAAAATGGAATTGGTAGAACCTCAGGCAGGAGCAGAATTGACTCAGAGTAAACCAGCAGGGAGCTCCATCCCCACCCAGCTCCTCTTTAGCAGCTCAGCCCTGCCCGTGGTGCTGCCTGGCCCGTCCCTCTGACATTATTGCAGATCCCAACTGAGAAAAAGGCCAGGAAAGGAAATTAAGAGCATCAAAACTGCTGTTGCTGTCTGGAGCAAAACCCTTTCTGAGAGAAAATGGCTCTCCTAACCTCAATTCTGTTAAGATTCGGCCCATCTCTGTGAGATTTGATTTCAAATTGATCTTTCAGAATGTATGGCCCATAGAGAAAAAAAAAATAGCAATAAGGTAAAAATCGGTTATGGGAGAAATAGAGCCGAAATAACACTGCAGAAAAGGGGCTGAAATAGCTCTTTTCAAAAGATCCTTATTGCCAGCAGATGAAACAAGCAAATAAAACACTTCTCTAGCTGGGTTAAGGGGCATTGTATACTTAATGTGCTTTCTGTTAATCATTAAGTATTTAAACCACTCTTATTTCAACCTAAACATGCCTGGCAAAATCTGACCTCAACCCTTTATAACCATCACAGCATCTGACATTCACTGGGATTTGATATTTCTGTAACCAAAAATGAGAACAGACCAAGTGATCCAACATCCCTGTTCTCAGCTTTTTGGGGTTTTTTTGCTAAACAGAATCTCAAGTTCTTGACAATCAAAGTTAAATGCCAGGTAAAAAGGTTATTTTAGCATCAGTTTCAAAGAAAACATCGAGGTTTCAAACAAACCCTGGAGCTGTAAGGTCAAATTCTATAAATCCTGGTTTATTTTGGTGTAGGTCAAGACTTTCATGTGAAAGCTGAGTGATAACCTGGGTTTATAAATGTTATGATCGAGAAACAGAAACTTACCCTTAGGCCAAAAAGAAAGCAAAATGGTTTTGGTGTTTGCTTTTTTTGTTGGTTTTTTTTAAAGCCCCCAAATAAGGACAGCACAGCTGAACACATTAATTATAAAGACATCATTTGTTAACAATGTGCCACTGGGATATTTACAAATCCATTGATCTGTGAGGCATTGAGGGGGAAGAAAAGGTTTAAGAAGAAATCAGGAGGAAGAAAAAGCACCAAGGAGAGCCGCAGCACTTGAAAGGATGTGTCTGAAGGCTGAATGGTTCCTCCTCAGGAAAAAAGCAGAAACATCTCCCGAGTTATCTGCAGGAGTCAGGAGTGTCGTGTTCTGCTCAGAAACACCGCCTTCAAAGCTGTGAAGCCATTGAGGTAACACACAGCACCTTCACTTGAAGGTTTCCAGATTATTCTGTGTGAGCAGTTTCTCATGGAGAAGATATGTGCCTCTTTGGATCCTCTTTAACTTGCTAAATAAATTTGTTAATACCCAGCAGCGCTGTGGCACAGAAGCAGGTCTGAAATGCAGAGAGTTAAGGAATTTAAGCCCTGCCACAAAAGAGTTTTACTCAGATTAAAAGGGAACAAAGCCACGTCTTAATCTCCGCGCTGCCACTCAGACCCAGCTTGCTGGGCACTGCTAATTGTAGCCTTTGAGTCTAAGGAAAATGCAGAACATCAGTAGAAAACCCATTTATTTGTGTCCTGTGTGTTAGACACAAAAATGCTTGAAAAGGGAATAATGTGGGAAGTTTTAATGCTAAATGGCATGTGTGATGACATTTACCAGCTCGGCTCAACCCAGCTGTGACCACGGCCAATCCAGCGTGGCAGCACAATGAATGTCACACTGCTGCAGCCCAGAGTGAGGATATTGCCCATCTGTATCACAATTCCAATAAAGAAATAAATACTTACCCTATTTAGAGCTGAAGTTCAGTATTTGTAGGATGACAAATGGATTTGCAAACCCTATTTTCAAGTAATCAGTTTAAAGGAAATTCCACTATTGCTTACTCTGGGCTTAAGATTTCCAAACCACCCGAAAAACAAAGAAAGAGCTGGCCCAGTAAGATAAGATTCCTTAAACCTTTAAATGATCTGTTTAATATTTTAATTTGCCTTTGCTTTCTTTGTTAATAGCACCGCTTGGGATGTGCAGTGAAAGCTCTTCCACAAGAGTTGCACTGGAAAAGCCTTAGCAGGAGAAAACACATGCCTGCCTCAGGGGTTACAAGACAAATCAATCTATTTTTCTCCTTTCCTCCAAGGGTAATTGGCCTTTAAAATTACAGAGAAAAATAGGCCTTCGTGTCAGCACAATGCAGGCACATCCACAGCCATTTTCCATTTCTTTTTCAGTGGGAATTCTCAGCTGAGAGGTAAACTTATAAAGGTGGGAAAATAAAAAGAAGATGAAGAGGAACGATTGCATCAGTTCAAATCCCCTCCAATAACAAGCAGCGCTGTGACCAGCATTTGAGGCTGGAATTTACTGAAACCTGCTATGAATAGCTGTCATTTTCCTAGGCAGTATTTTTTTTATTCTTGATTGTGATAAAATTTTCTCGAATTTTTGTGACAGCCTGTACTGCTGGCATTCATGGAGATTTATCACAGAATTTAGTCAGACTGAGGAGTTATAATTATTGCTTCATTTCCCATAAAATCTCACAAAGTAATACTGATTTTTACCTTATTCTTCTGAAATTGCCTTTTTCAAGGAGCAATCATGGCTGTGAATATTCCTAGAATCCTTCTGCTGTTCTGTACATATAATCACCTGCAGACTCATTTTCAGCCTTTGAATACTGGTAAATTGTATACAGTGCATTTAAATTGGCTAATAAATTGTTTGATAGCAGTGAAACTCAGATGATAGTCTTCTCACTTTTCTGATTGCTATTAAATCTGCTTTGCAATACATTAATCACATTCTACTTTTAATAAGAGATTGTCACGTGAAAATATTTCCCTGTGCATAAAGATGAGTAATCAGCTGAGCTACAACTGATACATAAAAACAAGAACAAAGTTGAAAAAAGTCAAAACAAGTTGGTGTTTTAAATCCAGAACTGATATTCCCTGAAAGAGTCCCGGGAGCACTAAACCATCGATGTGACCTCGCTCCCTGGGAGTGTGAGTACAGGTGTAAAGCAATTATTAGATTTGATATCTGAATGAACTCAGGTTCCCATTAGAGCCTGAATGCTTCAGTGACCCTATTATTTGCCTTCCAGTGCTCCCAGACCTGATCAACTTAATTATTCTGACTAGTGAAACATTTAGGACATGAATGTGGGATTTGTTTGAAGCCAAATGAGACAAATGAAAGTACTTCAGAAAACAACTCCAGGTGAAGAATAAGACGTGTGAGAATCGAATGTGTCACATCCAGCAAGGTCAGGACTAAGTAACAGTAACAAAGAAAAAGAGAGAGAGAGATCCTTGGCAATAAAAATACATTTATTCAGATATTTTTTTTCCCTTGAACTTCTCATTTGTGACCTCTCCTGCATAGTGAAAACATTTAGCTGATGAATCAGAAGGGCAAAACAAGTTCCAGAGAGTAAATTGTCTGCTTCAAGTGCTGAAAAAATCCAAACCTCAAAACACAGAGATTGTGATTCTTCTTTCATGACTACACACACCTTTAGTAGATGTCCAAAAGTAAAAGCAGAGCCTTTACTCAAAAACCTCCTCATGTCAGAGAGGGCAGGTTTGCTGATGTGAAAGCTGTGTTTCCTTGGTTTAATTGTCCCTATTTCCCTGCCAAGGAAAAGCCTGTGACACTGCAAAACCCACGTACTCCCATTTCAAACAGGTCTGTCTGGTGCTGATCCGCTGTTCTCTCCATCAATAATGAAATTTAAAATGTCCCATTCCCAGCTCCCCTGTGAACACCTCCACCCCTACAAGCTGTACTTGCTCTGGGGTGAGGTGGCTGGGAGGTCACAAAGCAGGAGAGGGAACACAGACAGGGACAGGTTCTGGATGTGAAATGCACAGGGAATGTCAGAGTTCCCATCCCTCATCCCACTGAAAATGTCCTTAACGGAGTCAGACTGACAGCCCAGGGCTCCCTGCATCCCTCATCCCACTGCCCCTGTCCCAAAAGAAATATTACTTAAACTTACTTTCTTTAAAAGAAACAATTACTTAAAATTACTTTCTTTAAAACAAACAATCAATTAAGTAATTAAAAATTATTAATTTATTCTCCTAGCCTTGTCTGGCCTTTGTTCCAGGCAGCCACTCCAAGGCACCAAGGGCAGGTTTGCCTTCAGTTTTATCTTCCCTATTTCCCAGCCTCTGCACTGCACTGGTTTATAACTCTGAATCCATATAAAGTGCCAGCAGCTCTCCCTCAGCTCAGGCACACACAACAATCCTTGTCCAGCCCAGAACCAAGGACAGCACTGCAGCTTCAGCCCCAAAACTGCAAAAATGTCAAATTGAGGAGAGCAAACAGGCAGGGTGGGGCTGGAATTGAACAACCTGGAGCTGGAATTGAACAATGAACCCCAATATGGAAATGGACAAAACTTATAAAAGTGTGAGAACTCCTGACTCAGGGTCCAGCCTGGGCCTGAAAAGAGGTATTTCCTACTGGTAAATGTAAACTGATTTTTCTCCATACCCAGACAATGGCAATAATTCCCTGTAGCCTGCAAAAGTCAGTATTCTGTATTTTTTATGCATCAGAAAAATATTCTCTCTATATATATAAATATATATATATATATAAAACCCACTCTGCCAGAACTTGTAGGCTACAAGTAAAACGAAATATTTTAAATAATACAATAAAGGCAGAATATCCATAATTATTTTTTTTTTATTAAATAAAATATCAGCATTTTTTATTCATGGCTAGGTTAACATTTACAATTCAGCATTTTGCAATATTTAAATGGAACTGAATATGCTATGAGAAAACTTAAAACTCCATCACTGCTGTATGGCTGGCTGGCACAGGCCATGGCTTTCTGTGCCCATCTGCATTTTAGCACAGGACAGGAAGGAAAAGCTCCTGTTGCAGCCTGGCAGGATGATCTCACCAGCACCTGACACCTCTCTGCACCCCCAGCTGAGAACAACTCCATCCTCAAAGTCACTTTTAATCCCTATTATTTGCATGTGCACCTTATGTGAATGTGAAACTGTTGCTTATTAAAATAATTCATACAGGAAAGTAATTTAGACTATACATGGCAGGCTCTGAGGTAAAATATAATAACTTTTAAGAACTTAGGAGTCTAATTTCTTTCTTGGCTGAGCACGGACAACCCCATTATGATGCAGAGCGAGAACCCCGTGCTCACATAAAGCAGAATCTGACCCTTTCTGTTCATATAAAGAATAAAAATATAGAAGCAGTTAATGCTGGGACAGGGCAGCAAGGTGTCCCTGAATAGCTCCAACAGCGTTTCCATTGATCAACACGTGTACCTGAGCAGGGTTATTTCATGTGCTGCTCCAAATTCACTCAGGGTTTTTCTCTCCAGATGCAGGAGGGCTGAACCAGGCCCCTCCTTCAGCTCCCACAGCAGGTGGGGATGGAAAGAGTGAATATAAATATATTGACATTCTCTGGGGCTGCAGGGGAGGCAGCAGCAACCCCTCCCACAGCAACCCCTCCTGGACCCAGGAGGAATTTGGGATTTAAATTGTTCTTCATCCTTCTCCAGGCTGGAGTGGGACTGAAGGATGGGGCAAGGGGGGCTTGGCTGTGTCTGAGGCAGCAGAATGGGCTCAGAATGGGCTCAGAACAGCTCAGAACAGCTCAGAACGGGCTCAGAACAGCTCAGAACAGCTCAGAACAGGTCCCTGCTGTGAGAGGACACAAAAATGAGCAATTTGGGGACAAACCTGTCCCCCAGCATGCCCTGAGCACAGGGAGCCTGCCTGGCTGACCAGAGTGAGCATTGCTGGCTGAGCTTCCTCACTCTCACACGGAGGAGATTCAGGATCCCCCATCACCTCTTCAGTGCCCTTAGACTGGAAAACAATGATTTGTGCCACAAAATAATCATTATCTCCATTTCCAGTTCTGTTCCCATCTAGAGATCTTATTCAGAGCACCACTCCAAAACTGGTTTTACCATATAGACGAGGAAATTCTGAATTTGGGTGAAAGAAAACAGAAAACAGTCAGGAGTTTCTCACACAAATTTTAGGAACACACACAAATTTTGCTGCTGGATAAAGTGATTAGGAAAGTACAACCTTAGTGCCACAAAAATCACATTAATCCATCAGCTGGTTTTTGCCCAAAGCTGGTAATGTCCTTTAGAACGATGTTTTGCTGTATATAAACACTTTTCACTACAAGCTCCTTCTATTCCATCCCAGGGAATATTTTTTCACGCTTGGACTGGTTTCATCTTCAGCAATAACAAAGGCAGAGCGTTAACAGTTCACACCTCTTTGTGACTCACTGGCCTTTATTTTATCCAGCAGCCCTTCCCTGAGCTTTCTCACAGCTCCCAGCCCAGGGTTCTGATTGCTTTTAATCCACTGTGCACCAGCAAAGCCCATTTTGCTGAATTAAACGTCTGATCAAAGGACTCGTTACCTTTTTTGTTTGTATCCCCTTTAAAGAGATGTTTCACACAGGGTTTTCTGTAAAACAGGGCTGAGGCTTGGCTGCACTTTGATGATAACTCCTGCTGCTGCCCAAGTATTTCTTTTTGCGCTGGATACTCAAGGAAACAATTATAAAAACTTACAGGAAAAAAAAAAAAAGAAAAAATGACATTTTTGATGCTCTTAAAAGTGCTTCATCAGCTGTTTATCACGACAGGAAAAAAAAAAAAAAAAAAAAAAAACCTAAAAAAATCTCAGCAAACTCCTCCAATTTTCCAACCTAATATTCCGATAGAAAATAGCAAAAAGCGGAAATAGTAAATAAAAGAGAGCTTGTATTTCAGCTTAACAACTTGCAATTTTTCAGGCTTTGGATACAGAAAGCCATCTCCAGGGACTTTGCTGTGAGGATGGGGACTTTTTAAAATATGGGGTGGTTTTAATTCTATGAAATTCACAGCTGTGATTTTGGAATTTCCTACTCAGCAGCAGCAGCAAAGCAAACTGTAGATGAAATATTTTCAAAAGGTTTACTACAAAGTTTGGTACAGAGAATTTTTTTCCCCCCATAAACTATGCAAATCTGGCTACTTATATTCCAAGAGTTCTACTGACTCAGTTTAAGGCAAATAACTATTTCATAGAACAGCATGCTTGCAGAGGGCTGGAAATGATATCTCACTCCAGAAGGGAAAAATCCAAGGAAGATAAATACTCTTAACTATGCAAAGTATTTTCAGATGCTTTTAAATTTTTTTATAGGAAAACAGTTAAATACTCTTGGAATGCCAATAGGAAAGAGCCAAAGTGCAAACTGCAATTTGATTTATTTGGTTTATTTTGAGTTCTTATTCAAACCCAAGCCTCGTGCACTTCAAGTCCAGCCCAGCATGAGAGAGCCTCAATATCTGCAAAGTCCAGCAGGAAGGATTAGAAAATGTCACAACACCTTCAGGGCATGGCAGATCCTTAAAATAGGGAATGATTCAAGAGTTTGAACAGGAAAAGTCCAGCAGGGAGCCTTCAAAAAACCTGCATCAGGCTGGAAGGTCTGTGAGCCTCCCCTCTTTAAAATATCATCCTTTTTCTGCTGCATTCTCACCCACATGGACAAACCTGGGCACAGGAGGGACCCTCCAAAAGTTACATAAAAACGCTCTGGGTAATTTAAAATAAGTTTATATATATGTACATAAATGTATATTTTAGAGGAACGCCAATTCATGCTTTTTGACAGGCAAAATGTCACTAGAAAAATGATAAACAGCTGATATCCAGCATTTCTGACTTTCCTTTGACATAGGTAATGTCTGGAAATTCAGAAGCTTTGCAATAACTCAGTGAAAATGGATCTCACTCCATTTCTGGTCACATTGGGGCCCTTGGACTTGGATTAGCAGCTGAAAACAATTATGGGTCTGCAGTTTAAAGACAACACTTAAGACACTACTAAATTTATTAAATTTTAGCATTTTAAACTCATTCTCAAGCATGTAAAACATCTCTGCCATCTGAAATATGAGTAGAAAGATAAAGGTCTAAAAATGTTCTCAAAACCCAATGAAATTAGTATTAATTGAAGTTCTGATAGACTGACTAAATGAAGAACCGAAACGTTCTTCCCCCAAAAAGCAATGAAATGTAATATTGAACCATTTTCAACACTTTCCCCAAGGCATTTCTCAAACAGAGAAGTTCAGGTTTAGGGTAATTATACAGAGCAATATGGCTCCAGCACATTCTGCATTTTCTGAAAATACATGATTACACGAGGTATTAATTCTTGCCCAGGAAGATTTTTGAGCACTGCCACAATTTCCACTTTTCCCTGGATGCTCCCTGGGCAGGGCCATCCCCTGCACACGGGGCAGGGGGATCAGGGAGCATTTGTGCTGCTGACAACATTCATTCCATTCTCATTCACCACCACCAGACCTCTCAGCTTCAATAAGGCATTAACAGCACGCTGCACTATTTTATGATGAAATATCTATGTACATTTACAGATTATTTTGACTTTGTACACCTCAGAGTTGCTTTTTTTCTCAGTTTCTGCTGAGTTTGCTCGTAATAAAATGATTTTTTCAAATAATTTCACTTCCAGTGATTTATTTCTGCCTCACAAGATGAAGTACAAAAGGTTCAGTCTGCTGCTCAGTGTCCCCTCTTTAGGGAGCAATAAGGAAATGTGATATAAAGCTTCAGAATCGTTGTAAAAACAAAGCAAGGCCACGGTAACCATGAGGAGTTCATGATTTTTGTGTGAGTGAGGATATTTAACAGCTTTATCCCAACTGCACTTTGCCAAGAGCTATCTGCTGAGACCCATGACAGAGAGAAAACTGCTTTGCATATTAAATTGTGTCACCAACAACCCATCAGCTTTCTAAAAAAGAAAAAATAAAAAAAAAAGGAGGGTCTTCACACCAATTTGTCACTGAGAAAAATAATTTACACCCACCAAGTCCCAATAATACGTTTGGAAGCCTGTAGGAAATGCAGAGTACT